TTTTTAAGATGAGATTGAATGTAAGTTTCAGGAAGTTAGAGATTTTTATTTATTTTTTACTGTCCCATCTCTAGCATCTGGAACAGTTGCCTGGAACATCAAAACCATTAAGTAAATATCTTCGAATGAATGGGTGAGTGAATGAACGAAGTCTACAAAACCATGTTTGAATGTGGGTGGTACTGATATTGTAGATGGTGCAGAGGAGAGCAGTTTCTTACTGGAAAGAGTAAAATTCCTGAGAAAATGAGGGCTTAAGGTTCAGAGTGCACATGAGGAACTGGTCTTTGACAAGGCCAGAGGCACTGCTTTTATTTTATAAGATAAAAGACAGAATATTTGGGTCCAAATGCAGGTAAATTTGTAAAGTTACTGATGACAAAGTTTTTCTTTGAGGGCCTCTGTGTTCTCAGTGAAGTTGGGAGTGGGGGCGGATAAGGTGTGAGAGCTTGGAGGAGAGGAGGCATGAAATCCTCCCAGAGCAGAGGAAACTTAACTTTCTAGGTGAGCTGCATATCCTCCCTCTGACCCACAGGCCCATCCCTGCTTTCTCCACCTTGCTCCGTTCTTGACTGAGAACTCAGAACCACAAAACCCCTCCTGAGCCTTCCTCAGTAGGACTGAGAGCAGCCTTCCCTGCATAATAGCCATTTCATGGCTGCACCTGGGCCAGTTGCCTCCCAAGCTGATATGAATTTGTCTCAAGACTCATCCCAAATACCTCTCATTTTCTCAATGGATATAACAAGATACCAGAATATCCTGGATAGAGAAGTAGAAAGTCTACTTCAAGACAAACTATCTTGTCTACTGAAAAAGTTACAGAACTCCACCACTCTGTTTGGGGGGCACATAGGGGAGGGGAGTCCATGGAAACCACACCAGGGAGGATGAAATGTAAGGCTTGATGGGCCAAATTCTTGGGTTGGTGCACTCACCTGGAATTTGAGATTTCATGTGTTGGCTTCAGCACTTGGAAGAGGTGTTAATTCTATGCACAGCTGGTTAATCCTTGGCATACAGACAAAGGAGTCCAAAGGCTCAGAGTGATCGTGCGTAACCACCCAGCTGCCCCCATGCATTCCCTGCAAGAGAATCCAGCGGCCACTTCCTTCATCAAGGCCTTAATCAGTGCAGGCTGTGGAGGAGGAAACCTCTGGGATAGCTGTCCTCTGGAGACTGTTGATGACAGTAGGGGACACAGTAATAGAACCGAGTCGTCTTTTCCTAATGAGAATAATGGGATCCCAAGGTGGGAAAGGCCAGGGAAGGGCTTCATTGTCGCAGTCAAGGTGGTCACAGTTACCACAGTAAGCTTCAGAGACCTATGCCGCAAGGCAAATTGATCATAGAGTTCATAGTAGTAAATTATATGGGCAGCTTCACTTATCAAACTGGAAAAAATCTGGATCTGGTGAGAAGAAACCTAACTCAAGGATCATAAGAAGGATTAAGGACCTCAGTCACTTCTCAGACCTAAGCCTGTTCCTTGAAGGGAGGCCACGTCCCTTTGAGAAAGGATCCTGCAACAAAGCCTGCCTGCGTTTAGTGCTTTCCCCTCACACCTTCTTCAGAGTAAGGCTGCAGTGAAGTAGCAGAAGCCATTTGTAGCCAATTAACAAGGGACTTGTGCATTTGTTAAAAGAAATACCTTGACTTCCCAGGTGTTAATTTTCTGCAATCCTCAGTGACCCAGAACACCCTCTAGCTCACTAGACAGAGGAGAGGCCCATGGAGGTCAAGTGGTGGGTGCATTCTTGGGCTACGTCCATACAACAGTTGACCCTGTGGAATGGTGACCCATCCTATGGTTCTTCCCCAGCTCCAGCATGAGTCCTGGGATAGATAACGCATCAAACAGCTGTCAGATCCCCAAGTTGGTTCCCTATATGTTAGGAAGTTTCCCCATGCCACATCAAGATAGTAAAACAAAAGAAATACAACATCCTGATGGAAATTTTAGAGACGAGTGCCAAGCTGCTATGACTCACTCCAGGTAGCCACCCGATGCTGCAGGGAATGAGGGGACCAAAGCAAGCAGAGGCCCCTCAGCAGGCCTGGGTTGTCATGCAGCTACCCTGCCACGTGGGCCTTCTGCAGCAGCCAGCACACTGAAGGGGTCCCAAGTGTCTGTGGCAGACCTTTGCAGAAGAATCACAGTGCAGACTCTGAGGATTTGAATAAAGTCCACGCCCTCCTGTTCCAACTATTAGTCTCTACCTGAAAAGCACCTCCTGGCTGCCACTGGGCCCTGGTGCAGATTGAGGACCAGACTGTGGGAAAGGGTGTGACCAGGCAAGTGGAGCTGTGCACCACACACCAAGTGCCGTCTGACCGACTGATTCATGAAATTAGACGTGAACACTGGTCTTCCATTATGTGGCATTTAGGAGACTGGGCCCAATCTGGTCTGGAAGGCACACACACACTGCAGGAGGAAGTGGCTCGGATTCCCATGGCAGCTGTGTCTGCTGCGTTGCCACCCCTTCCTTCACCCGTCCCTGCGTGTGGCCTTGCAGGGGCTCATCTGAGGCGAGGCACCTATCAAAGGTGACACACAGCTACTGATGCAGCTCAGAATCCTCATGTGCAGCAAAAGAGCAAATGGACTCTTCCTCTTGATTTTCACAGTGATCTCAGACTACAAACATGTGTCCTTATGGTCCTTGTGATCTTCAGGGGTCATGAGATGTTGGAATGATGCCTAGGAGCATAAGTGACCTGTGGTAGTCCAACATTCATAGCAAAGCCACCATATGTTCCTTCAAGGTTATCTTTTTCTATTGTCACAGAACAGGGTTTAATAAGCATTGGGTTGGGTTGTTTGCTTACTCATTCTGGAGACAATATCAGGAGGGAGCAGAGACAGACTTGATAGGAAAGGTGACGGCACTTTCAATGTTTCCTTTGTTGCAGACATGAACTTATCATCTGCTGAGGAGCAAAACTGGTGGACAGAGCTGTCTTCCATCCACTCCTCCAGACCCACTCTCACCCTGCTTATCCTGCCCTGTGTCCATAGGAGCTGACCCATGTGGACAGTGTCAGTTCCACTTGACCTCTGGTTTCTGGCTGGCTTTAGCCAATGGGAAGGATGATGGAACTCACAGTGAGGAAAGGGAGTGAAATCAAGGTGATTCCCACAGCCCCTCCCTGTGAAGTGACTCTTGCTGGCTGCAACCCTTCACAGGAGCTCCTGTCAGGGGCCCCTTTCCAAACAGCCCCCTGCATCTTCAGGTTCTGGTGACTATTTCCTTCCCTCACCCTCGGAGGCCTACAGGTGCCTCCTCTCATTAGTCCGAAGGATTGCACCATCCCTGATCAAATTCCCTTTAAGTTACCCAATTTGAGCAGCCATCTGTTCTCAGCCAGGACTCTGCCTACTCAAGAGGGAAATACAATAAATGAGCCAGGCAGCACTGAGTGCCCACTTGATGTTTGTGATCTTTATTTTAAAGTGAAACTAGTCATCCCAGCCGAACGATTACCTCAGCAACATTCAGGTGCTTAGATGCAGGGCCAGAAAAGGTAGAGCAGGCCAAGTTTATTGACAGAGCTTTGAATTTAAGAGCAGAAATAGGAGGGAACTGATGTGGGAAGTTAGCAAAAGGGAGAGGCCGAGGAATCAGAGGTGTCAGGGGGATCCGTTTAGGTGGTAATCTGGAGTAAATGCCCAGAAGTGTCAGAAGTGTCAGAGAGAGACACTGAGATGAGGAATTCAAGGTGCAGTTACAGAGGTCAACTTTGGGTGTAACAAGCCGAACTGTCAGATCCCAGGGAATGCTGAGAGGGCTGATGGGGTAAGGGGGAGAGGAAGCAAGGAGTCAGGAGCCAAAGGTATTGAAGAATGAGAAGGGGTGACTGAGGAGCTGAGGGTGGCATCTATGAGGAGAGGTGGGAGGTGGAGAGATGGAGGCTGGAGCATCACAGGGAGGAGACACTGAAGGAGGAGAGAACAGATGTGAGTTAGAAGTGGCAGCTGGGCACAAGGAAGGCACCAATGCCACCTCCATGCATGGAAATATGAGGGGGAAGAGAAAACAATGCCTTTTGGTGAAAGAATTCAGGAGAATTTGGGTTCAGTAAGGCAACATGAAAAGGGAGCAGAGCTCGAGTGGCTGGCAGGGCTCCTTCCCTGGAAAGACTGGGGAGGAGGCTCCTCTGGAGCATAGAGTCAGTGCACACAGAGGATCCTGTGACGTTCGCCAAGATTAGATTTTAAAACAAAAATGGGGCTTTGTGTCACCTTTGCTGTCAAGGAATTCAAAGATGGCTCATGAATCCAAAGGGCATAGTCTCGTAAACTCTCTCTCGACCTTTCAGGAGGGAAACAGGTTGCCATTTTGCAAATACAGATTCTAAACTGTAGAAAGGGCACAGCCACCCTGAGGGTGCCAGGAAAGAAATGGGACTAGAAAGGTCTCCTACTTTCCTGGGGATCTTAAACCTTTTGAAATCAGACGTTTTGTACAGCTACCACTTCTGAGCAGGGTCTACAGTAAACATCTTCATCTCAAGGCATCAAGCACAGTAGACCGAGAACTGAAGAAGAGGTCCGTTGTCTGGGGCACAGCCATGGTACTGACCAAGCACAGCAGACGAGACCTGAGCTGAAGCACAGCGCTCCCTCCTGTTCTTTGCTCTCGTTATCCTTGCCTCATGCGTCGAGTTCCACAAAAGAATAGCATTTAATAAACGTTGATGGAACCCCCAGAGTTCTGCGGGGTGCGCAGGGCTGAGTGTATCGACGACCACACTTTTGTGTAATTGACGGAAATAGCATGCATCACCTTCAAAACTGAAGATTATTCTAGGCTGTTAACTATGTAAAATATTATTTTAAAAAAGCACTTACAACCTTCTGCAAGTCAAATTTCTGGACTTTTAATTGATGACTTAAAAACTCTAGAGAAAAACATAAATGGATAAAATGCAATTTTACATAATGTAAACTACTGAAAAACTAATTGACTAACAAATTCTAAGACATTTTGTCAGGGGATAGTTTTTTTTTTTTTTTAATACATAAAATGTTTCCTTACAAACTGTCTGCCTTTTCCCAGGAAAAGAATATATTCAGAGAGTATACAATTTAAATGCTGATTATTTTAACATGAAAAGTGATAACATGAAGAAAAAGTGTGGATAGCCTCAGGAAAGTGACAGTTAATCAGCACAAGCCAATTGGGGTAGAATACTGCATTTGTGTCTTTTCTTACAGAGCATAGTAAGACATGTTTTGAAATACACATATTTTCCTGTAGAAGAGTCTTGGGTAAGTTATCTTGTATTTGCCACGATTGCCCAGCATTCACCTGAATAAGAATGGGGTGCCAAAGGTCTCCTTCCAGAGCGCCCCATGGTAAGCACCTTTTCTTCTCCAAGAGTGGTCTTGGGGGAGTTTTCTACTGATGTTGGTGATGGGTCAAGTTTCCCTTAGTCTTCACATGATGTATATGTATTAATTCCATCCTATCACGACATGAGCAACAAGGAGGTAACACATCCCAACCGTGCAGGAGACGACCATCATGGGGAATCCCAACCTGAAACACAAAGAGAAGTGCATTGTGGGGTCTGGTGTCTGGTGAGTATTGTAAGATCTGAACTCATTATAATATTATGTTATTGCAAAAGAATATGGCCTTGGGAGCTATATATTTCCACAATGTTAATTACCTCTTATTATTAGAAATCAAAAAGTTGGTTTTAGCCTAGATGATCTGGAGGCATGCCTCCATTAGATATCCCCCATGGTATGCCATTTTATTTGAGACCTGCTTAAAGTTTTTGAAAAATTTTAATTGACGTTTTAGAGTCTCAATTTGCTCATCCATAACATTAGAAGGGTGGTCTTGATGATGACACTTACACTGTCAATGTCATGTAACTGGGCCATTACTTAAATTTCTGGATGATTCCTATGACTGCATGATCTTCCAATTGTCCTTCCAGGAGAACTGGTTTCCCAGAAAGGTCATATTCCCCTAGGCCCCTGACGTTCCTCACACTTACATCTTGGGAGAGCTTGAGAGGTAGGATTAGAAAATAATCTCTTGTCTAAGGAAAAGAAGAGGGAAGAACAAGATTTTCTTCTGTATTCAGTGAGGTGCAAGATGTGTGGATAGGTACACACAAATACAAAAGAAGTCAGGAGAAGATGAAAATCTCCCTCATTATATGCTTCCCATAATGTACTTGTGTTTCCACAACTTCCTATGCTAACCAACAAATCCCAGTAGATTCCCACTGGCATTTGGAATTCATGCTTTGAAGCCATTGCTTAGTGCTGCATTGTCACTGAGACAGGTCCCTGCAAAGGTTATAGGTTTTGTTCCAAAAGGCTTAAAAATTCAGTGGTGGGAGCCTAGTGTGTGATAATGATAATAATAAGGATTATGACATTCTTCCCATGGCCATGGACGTGGGGAGTAGCTACTCAGGAGAAAGAGCTACAGCAAGGTTCTCTCTACAAGCTGTAATTTAAACACAAAAACTGCATCCAAGAGTGAAACAGCTCCTTAATTCTAGAGCAGAATTGGACATTTCAAGAAGGTAAAGCAAAAAACAAAGCACAATAGATTTCAGTAAAACTATGTAAATTTCTTGAGCTTGGTAAACTTTGTTTTGTTTTGTTTTTTAAAATAGCTGAACACGTTTGAAACTTGTCAGCCCTGATCACTGAATTCTGGAAAAATACAACCCACGGACAGTTTCTGGTCAACTCTAGGCATCAAAGACATCACGGCAAGCCTTCATTTGAACGCAAAGCCTTCCTTGCACTATGACAGATTACGTAGAATGAGTTGGTGTCAGGTAAGATGCTGAATACCTCAACCTGGGTGCTGCAATACCTGGCCGTGTTTCAGAAGCAAATCTGCCTTGCCAAGGGATGGATCCCACAAAAAGCAGAACTTGCTCTTGGGGAGCCCAAGCCCAGAGAAAGTTCCTCATAGATGGTTCTGCCATGCTCCCCAGTGAGAGCTGCTGGCATCTCAGGGATGGCACCATCCCTGAGAAGAAGCATCACCTGAGACTGGTGCAAGCCTTCAGACTTCATCAGAAACACGACTGCTCACTCAGTGTCGAGACACTGAAGATCTTCACACAGATGACCTCATCAACTGCTCATAGCACCTTTTGAGATTGGTATCATCACACCCAGTGTATAGATGGGATTTGGAGGAGTAAGCAGATTTGTCCAGGTTACTCAGCTAACTTGCTATGGTGCAGAAATTCAAACCCTATCAGTCTAACTCTAGAGAACACACTCTTAATCACTACATGTACTGCTTCCCTAGGGGTATGAGTAAGTCATACAATGATGATACGCCACTCAAAAATAAGTAATTTACTGAACATCTGCTGTATTCCAAAGACCACAGAGACACAGAAATAGATGTTATCTATCATTTCCCAAACACAATAAGGCAGGTCATATTATCCCTATTTAAGAAACTGAGGCCTCAATATATTAGGGAATTTGATAAAGTCTGCCACCACTAAGAGGCAGAGATGACGTTTTGGCATATTTTCCTGGCTTCAAAACCCACATGCATTCCCCTACTAGACAGGCACCCTGACACAATAGTTCAAGGCTCTGCTCTTGTCCAGCTACATGATCTTGGGAAAGTATTAAACATCTCCATGACCCAATTTCTTCATCTGTAAAATGGGAGTAATAACAATACCTACTTACTAAGGTTGTCATGAGAATTACATGAGTTCATCCCTATAAATCCCTTAGACCAGTGTCTGGACTCATAATGAGCACTCAGCAAATGTTAGCCACCAGCCGGTGCTCCTCAAAGCAGGCACCTGCCCCTGAGTACATGCTGACTGGGATTAGAAAGTGCACAAAACCAAAGGGTAAAGCACGGAGTGACTCCTTGGAGCATGAGTTTTGTTTGATGGTAAGAAATTTAACCACACACTTGAGGGTATATTGGAAAAGAAAATATACCTGTTTTACAAACACAAAACTATAGATCAGGCTTTTGGTTCTGAAGCAAGATGGAGTGGATGCATTTCTTCCTATCCCTCCCACTAAGCCTAGCTAAAGAGCCTGGGCATTACATACAAACAAACATAAGAGACTCTGAAGGTGAAGAGAAGAAAGCAGGCCAGCTGGAGACTTTGATCCTGAAGAATGGCATAGCAATGAGTTTCCTTTTTGTTTCCTCATATATCCCAGACTAAGTACTGGGAAGCTGACAACTGGGAAACATTAATGGATGGTAGAAAAAAAAGTCCCAGAGAAGTCTGCTCTCTTTAGCCAAAGGATGAGGAAAGGAGCAGCATAGCAAGACAGAAAACTTTTACATAACTGCCCTATTCCATCCAAACACCATAGAAAAAAAAACTTATAGCCCACCCCCAACCCCACTGGCAAAGGCCCAGTAGGGAGTCAGAACTTCCACCCTTACCAGGATATAACAAGGCACTCTTCCTATGGTGTCAGTGGAGACCACACAGGGATCCTGGACTTTCACCCGGTCTGGAGCTAAGAGGCCCTCTCTCCTCTCGTTGGGGTGGTTTCAGAGAGACCCAGTGGTAAGCCGAGACTTTCACCACCTTCCAGCAGCAATAAGACCTCACTCCCACAAAGTCAGCAAGTTGTTGGTGGTCACATGGGGAGGAAAATGAGGCACCCGTCCACACACCAGCCAGGTGGTAACAGGACAGACCTAGTGGGGAGCCGAACTCCCAACCCCACTCAGCAGTAAAGAGGCTCCCCTCCCCCACTGGAGTGTTAACAGGGCTTGAGTGAGAAACCTGGACTTCCACCTCCACCTGGGGGTAATGAGGTGACACCTGCTTACCCCCACCAGTGTGGGGTTAGAGGAGGCATGCTAAAGCAGAAGATTTAAACAACATACAGAATCTCATAACACAATGCCCAAAATGCCCAGGATATAATAGAAAATCACTCATCATCCTAAGAACCAGGAATGTTTCAACTTGCACGAGAAAAGGCAACCAGCGGATGTCAACACTGAGATGAAACAGATGTTGAAATTACCTGACAAAGACTTCAAAGCAGCTATCATAAAAATTCTTCAACAAGCAATTACAAACACACTTGAAACAAATGAAAAACAGAAAGTCTCAGAAAAGAAATACACATAAAGGAGAACCAAACAGCAATTTTAGAACTGAAAATGTAACAACTGAAATAAAAGTCTAACTGGATGGGCACAATAACAGACTGGAAAGTACAAAGGAAAAAGTCAGTGAACATGAAGATACAATAGAAATCACCGATCTGAACAACAGAGAAAAAATAGAAAAAAAATGAACAAAGTCTCAGAGACTTGTAGGACATGAACAAAAGATCTACCATTTATGTCATTGGTGCCCCAGAAAGAGAGTAGGGATGAAAAAATATTCAAATACATAATAGCTGAACATCTGGTAAATGATATAAACCTACAGATTTAAGAAACTGAGAAAACCCTCAAAAGGATAGACCCCCCAAAATCTATGCTAAGGCACAACATTATCAGCTCTTGAAAACTAAAGAAAAGAAAAATTCTTGAAAGTAATGAGAGATAAACGACAATTCACCTATAGGGAAAAACAGCAATTTTCTCCTCAGAAACCACGGAGGCCAGAAGGAAGTAGCATAACATTTTTCAACTGCTGAAAGAGAAGAATAACCAACCTAGATCTCTATATCCATCAAAAATAACCTTCAGGACTGAAGGGGAAATCACGATATTCTCTGGTGAAGACAAACTAATGGAGCAGCAGACTTACCCTAAAAGAACTGCTAAAAGAAGGTCTTCAGAGAGGAAATGATAAAAGAAGGAATCTTGAAGCATCAGGAAGAAAGAAAGAACAAAAGAAAAGGCAAAAATATGGTTAAATACAATAAACTTTCTTTCTCTCCTTGCATTTTTAAATTATGTTTGATGGTTGAAGCAAAAATTATAACATTGTCTGATGTGATTCTCAAAGAATGTAGAGGAATATTTAAGACAATTATATTGTAAACTGGTAAGCACAAACAGACTTAAAGGGAAGCAAGGTTCTACATTTGACTTGAACTAGTAAAATGTCAGTAAACTGTATTAAATTATGTATTTATAATATAATAACTAGAGCAAACACCAAAAAATCTATACAAGGAAGTATATTCAAAAACACAGATATACCAAAATGGAATTCTGAGAAGTGATCAAGTAACCCACAGAAGGCATAAAGAAGAAACAGAGAAACTAGAAAGAGAGGTAATCAACAGAAAACAAAAATAAAATAGCAGATATAAGATATCAAGAAAAGTAAGAGAGACAGAAAGTGGCAGAGAGAGAGAAAGACAGGAGAGCGAGACAGAGACTGAGAGAGAGAGAGAGAAGGAATTTATTTCAAACGTCAGCTCTAGTACTTTAGATTCCAGCCTCATCCTCCACTAGTTGGGTCATGATATGCCAACAAAGAATAATAAAAAGATATTTGCATGTACTGTAAGATCCCTGAAAAAGCCCTTAACCCATAAAGATGCACACAGTACGGATTCCATGAATGAAAAATGTGTTTTTACAAT